CCACAAGATTGCACAAGTTCAGCAAGCTGTTTCAGATTCAGTACATTGCCATTGTCTGACGTGAAACGACTGATGCAGAATTTCCAGGCACGCCCGTAAGCCAACATTCCTTCAGGGTTCATGAACGCGATGACCATTTCATAAGCCTTCCTGTCCAATTGAGGATGGATTACTACCTGATTTACCTCTACTCCAATGATGCTGAAGTTGCTGTCCACCAGCTCTCCGATTCGTCGCGCCTCTTCGCCGAGGTTTTCTGCCACCACCTCGATCACCTTGATGTTTCTAGTGTGATCGTCAATGTGGCGAGCACATTTGATCGCCATGTTCCACTCCTCTAACCCAGCGAGTAACCCTCGCCGAGCATCCAGCTGATGCAGCTGCTGTCCTGAGAGGGATCTGAAGATCTTGAAGAAACACGACAGTGTCAGCAGCGCGTCGGAGCCGGCATGGTGCGCGGCGCCGCCGGTACGCCGGATTCCGAGGTGCTCGGCGAGCCCAGTGAGCTTCCCGCTGAAGCCATGATCCTCCGCATCTGCCTGATCACGCGGACGTCGTAGAACGCCGGGAAATTCTCCCGTAGCCGGCGCAGAAACGTGGCTAGCTGACGCGGGAGATCGCCGCCTCCGCGGCGGCGGCCTCCGCGTTGCAGCAGGTGGAGGAGGAAACTCAGGTCGTAGTCGCCGTGGTAAGCTAGCCAGGTGACGGAGCGGCCATCGTAGACGCGACGCGGCGAGACGCCCCTCCTCCGGTGCTCCCTCAGATCATGGCCTTGACGGGACAGGAACGCGATCGACTTCTTGTTGTACTTGCGCGCCTTGATGTTGATTTTGAAGTTGATCTCTAGTGTTATCGGCGGCGGCGAGGAGGAGGAGGAGGATTGTTCGCCGTCACCGACGAACACGAACGTGAGGCCCATTTGGACTATGTCACCTCGATTCACAAACTCGCGCAGGTGATGGTAGCAACCGGTGGAGGTTACCGGCCTTCGGCGGATGTTGGTGGTGGCGTCGGCGGCGAACTCCATGTCGACGGCGATGTAGAGGTGGCGACGAGGTTGGTTGAGCGCGTCGACCACGAGCTTGAACTGCTCCCTGTAGTTCTCCCGCCACACGCTCTTCACGATGGCATTGGTGATGCTTGCCGGTGCTGGTGGGATGCCGAGCACGTCGACATTGGCGGCCACCGTGTCTTGCTCACCGCCGGCATCCACCACATGGAGAAGGAGGTCTGCATTGGCATCGGAGTAATGGACTGGCGCGACGAAGCTGAAAGCATTCGCGGCGAGGTGGGTGTCGTTGTTGGGGCACACCGTGTTCCGCTCGCCGCTTGCACCGATGTGGTGGAAGAATTCTGCAGCAGAGTGATTGAACGGGGTGGCGAAGCTGAAAGCATTCATGGCGAGGTTGTCCGTGTTGGGGGACACCATGTTCTGCTCGGCGCCTGCACTGATTTGGTGGAATTCCTCGACAGAGTAATGGGCCGGTGTGGCGAAGCTGAAAATGTTCACTGCATGGGTGTCCGTGGTGGGGAACGCCATATTCTGCTCACCACTTGCACCATTGTAGTAGAATTCCTCGATGTTCTGCTACCGCCTACACCGTTGTAGTAGAATTCCACAGCAGGGTAATGGGCTGGTGTGGCGAAGCTGAAAGCATTCGCGGTGAGGGTGCCCATGTTGGGGGACACCGTGTTCTGCTCACCGCCTACACCGTTGTAGTAGAATTCCTCTATGTTCTGCTCATCGCCTGCACCATTGTAGTAGAATTCCGTAGCAGAGTAATGGCCCGGTGTGGTGAAGCTGAAAGTGTTCGCGGTGAGGGTGTCCACGGTGGAGGGCACCATGTTCTGCACACCACTCGCACCGTTGTAGTAGAATTCCTCAATGTTCTGCTCACCGCTTGCGCCGTTGTAGTAGAATTCCGCAGCAGAGTAATGGATCGGTGTGGCAAAGCTGAAAGTATTCGCGGTGAGGGTGTCCATGTTAGGGGACACTATGTTCTGCTCATGGCCTACAGCGTTATAGTAAAATTCCTCAATGTTCTGCTCACCATCTGCATTGTTGTAGTAGAATTCCGTAGCAGAGTAATGGCCCGGTGTGGTGAAGCTGAAAGCGTTCGCAGTGAGGGTGTCCATGTAGGGGGGCACCATGTTCTGCACACCACTCGCACCGTTGTAGTAGAATTCCTCGATGTTCTGCTCGCCACCTGCACTGTTGTAATAGAATTCCGCAGCAGAGTACTGGTTTGGTGCGGCGAGGCTGAAAGCGTTCATGGCGAGGTCGTCGATGTTGGGGAAGAACGCCGTGTTGTGGTCGCCACCTCCACCGATGTGATGGAGATCCGCCGTAGCAAAGTAAGGGGCCACGTCGAAGTTGGGGAGCGCCGTGTTCCGGCCGCCCCCCGCACCGATGCGGTGCCAGCCTTGAGCGGAGTAAGGAACCGGTATCGCGTAGCTGTAGGGGTAGTTCGCGGCGAGCGCGTCGCCGCCGGCGAACACCGTGGTCCGGTCGCCGGCGCCGCCCACACCGGTGTGGTGCTGGCGCAAGCTCAAGCTTGGCCCGATGCTATAGGAGGCGTCGCCGCCGCCGTTGGTTGTCGTCTCGGTGAACGCCGTGTTCATCGCGCCGCCGCCCGCACCGACGTGGCGCAACAAGCTCGCCGCCGGCGCCATGCGGTAGGGATTAGCGGCGTAGGGGTAGCAGCTTGCACTACCTGCAGCGAGGATGCCGCGACGGTGGTGGTCGGCGGCGAGGCGGCGGCAGCGCCCTGGCTGATAGGTCTCCATGGATCTCGACTCGATACGGCGGCGCTCCGATCCTGTACACTGTAGCGGTGATGTTGTCGTGAGCCCGGGCCTTTGGAGATTTTGGAGATAAAGAAGCCTAAATGAAATGGTGCGTTCTTCTTCTTGCTGGAGGATTTCGTAGTCGTAGCTAGAATTGCTGACGTGGCATCCCAAACATGCTGCAGCTGCTTTTTGCCTGTCCTACTGGCGAAGGGCGAGAAGGATGCTGATTGGCTCAAGTTTTTTTTTTGTTTAGTTTAAAACCTCCCCTGGGTGGGGCCCACCAACAAGAGCCGTGTTGAGCAGGGTTAGGGCTTTTGCGCAGGGGAGGCAGGAATGGGAGTAGTTGGGGTTGGGGTTCTCGAACTCGAGCACAGCAGGTGGTGGTGGTGTGTGTTGAGTTGGGTGGAATGGAATCTCACCCCCCACCCCTCGTCGTTGCTGTCCATTCGATCGATCTGCATGCCACACAATTTCGCATTTCTTTATCAATTATCATTGACTGGTTCTTGGTTGATTAATTTGTATATTAGTATATGGCACCAATTGTTTATTGGAGTACTACGGGATAGCTGATTCAGACTGAGCTATCTATCTATCTCTCATCTGTTTGACGATATGTCTCTATGGTTGTCAAGCAGATGGAAGATGCAGCAGTGTGGTGGTATTTGAGCCTCTCCAACCATGGCCACCTCCTTTTCAAGCCAAGTGCAAAGGTTCAATTGTTGAGCAGCAATCTTTACTATGGCCTGATCCATGGTTTACTCAAGGCAGTGGAAGCGTGGTGGTGAAGATCTCACAGTATGGGCCATCTCTTCCTGGAGCCATTTGCAAAGGTGACAGTGCTGAGCATCAACTTGAACCCTGTCCTGATCCACGAACAGTACAAGGCAGCAGAAGTGTGCTGGTCAAACTCTTTCAATCATGGCCACCTTCTCTTCAAACTAAAAGTAAGGAATTGATGTTTTTGACATTGACAGAGATCACTTCCTGGAAGACATGGCCACCACCTGATTTATGGATCTTGAGATTATTTTCACCTCATGTGCATTATTGTGGCGGTTTGACTAATGGGTTGGAAGTAATGCTGCAACCAAAACTATTGCTACTGTCATTTGTCAATTCTTGGGGAGAACTATGGGAAAGGCTGCAACAGTTACTAGTTAAATCTGAGTTTATTCTTCAGTGGAATCAAAGTGGGAAGACAAATGAGTGCTGTTTACAGAGAGAGCAGCTGCAACTGGGAGTTGTCAATTTCGGTTCCAACTACCTTCTTGATCATCCAACTGGAGACATAAGTGACATTGATTTGCTTGTGCAATCTTGGGCGAAGATAAATCCAAGCTGCATCTTGTACCTGGGTTTATGCAAAACCAGGCAGGTTCTATATGGGAATGAAAACTCATTTATTCAACAAGTTCCGAGTATGTTACAATTCAACTTTCTAGCAAGTTCTGTTTGGTGCAAGCATTTTCAAAGGAGATCAGATATTGCGGATGTTTCAGCTGCCAATGGAACACACTTTCAAGCCTTGCTAAAGAAACAATCTAATTGGGTCATTGTGATGCAATTATTTATTTATCAGTTCAGTGCAACTTGGGTAGTGTCAGTTTATTGTGAACAATCTAGCACAATACTTGATGCAATGGATCTCTCCGTGGAGTTTTGGATGAGTATATATCTTGCTAGAGCACTTTGTGAATCAAATCAAATATTCTTCAGCCACATCATCACCACTGAATTGCATGGAACCTTGCTATCTGTTGAGAGATTCTGGAGTACAATTCATCTTGGACTCATCAAAACTTTAGTTCTACCTGACTGTAAGGTGCAAAACATGAATGGTTTTATGCTGGTTGGTTTTGAACTGCTGTTCCTGAGCTGCAATGAGGTACTGGGCTGGTTTTTGTGTAGATGAGAGGATCAAAAGCATATACTCTATATGGTTCCAGTTGAAATATCACTTGGTTTGCATTGGAGTTCTGTCAGAATGGTGAGCATCATATTTAGACACATGATATTGTTCTTCAGTTGCACCAGAAGAGTTCCAATGATCTGGGATCCCGGCGGCTCTATGACTCTGTTGCATTGGCTTGAGGGCAAGCCGAAACTCAAGGGGGAAAGAATGTCACGATATGGGCCTAACGAGTGAGCTCTTGGGCTGAAGCAAACCTTGGCCCACTCAGCTAGGAAGTTGACTACTATAAAAGCAGCAGCCACACACGCTGGAAGGGGATCGATGAACAGAAATATAATCTGGCTTTGCCATGGCTCTCTTCCTCCTCCAACTCTGCCTCCCCTAATTTCTATTTCTCTAATCCTAGTCTCATGCTTCTGCCTTCTCTATGTTGCTCTTCCCAATCCCTGATTCTACTCTCTTGATTGTATCCCTGGGCACTTGTATTCTTGAGTGGATTTGCAATATATTGGTGGCACTGTGTGTGAGAGATTTGGTGTGATTGTGTTGGTTCGTGACAGATCGGGGCGACGTGGGGGTGGGAGGAGAGAGCGCCGCCCAACCCGAGACGGTGGAGGACGCCGGCGGCGAGGGCATCATGGCGGGCGCCGCCGCCGCCGCCGCCAAGGGTTCCAGGTCAGCTTCTCCAGTCTCCTCCTCTGTCCTCTGATTTCTTTCCGCAAGGTGGATATGCTTCTGTTCTTGCTGTTCTACCAGCAGCAAGTGTTATGTGCAACACAGGGTTGAGGTCTTGAGGAGCAAACAAGATCCAGATCCAGCGCCATCCATGGCTGTATCGGAAGAATTAATTAATCCTGGTTGGGATAAAATCTTCCCAAGCAAACAGAATTAGTCTAGGTTAAATTGAGGAGTTTAGCACTAGGTAATCTTAATACCATTGGATGGTCTCTCCTAGGACAGCAGCCATCCCAGCAAAAAGGAGTTTAGCAGGCAGTAGGCTAAAGAATTTGATGCAAACTCTCCAAAATGTGATCCTGGTAGTCGTTTGGAAGGGACAATATTTGACCATTTCAATCTTCTTGAATGTAGAAGGTTAGCATTTAGGAGGGAGCATCAACTAAAACAGAGCCTGAAAAATTATTTATGCTTCATAATTGTTATGTACTCCGGCCTTATTTAGGCTTCATATCTCATCTGTTAGTGTGATCCGAGAAAATTAGTGTGGCCACGCCTGAGTTTGCTATGTGTATAAACACTTCTTTGACACAATGCAGGTTTTGATATAGCATTTGATGAAGCTATACCAACATCAATTTGGTTCCTCAGCTCTTTCCCTGGTGTATCATTGTAGATCTAATTACAGAGCACAGTTCATAGCTGACACTGAGACCTGATTATAGCACAACATTTAAAATCTCTCCTGATGGCCGTTAAATTGTTATAATTTTTTCCCTGTGCATGATACTATTTTCTTCATTGCAGCTAAAGTTCATTTCTGATATGTTTTTGTTTCAGATATAAGCTGCATGGCAAGAAGAGCAAAGTTGACAATCAACCTCAAATTAAGGAAATCCACGATAAATGTAGGTCAGGAGAAAGTTGCAACACACTCTGGGTGGTTGCTTCCATACTGAGATTTTTTTTTATATGAAATAAGACCTCTTTGTATTTCTATGACAGGTGGAACAATTAATACATGTAAGACTAAGGCAGATACTAAACTTCATGGGGGGAAAAACTGCATATATCAAGGTCTGTTCTACAATCTACATAACATCTAAAGTTCTCTCCCCAAAAATGACAAAAGTACAAAATCTTCATTGTGTCCGTTTTTGAAACCTTTATTTTGAAGAAGTTTGATGGAACGGTGGGAGTGCCAATATTGAGATCCAAAAGGGTTCCACCATCAGAGGTATGCTTTGATTATTGATTGAATTATATTGTGGAAAACCAATGTTAGAAACTTAAAAGGCTCCATGACATAATATTTATTTTGATTGGCTGATAGGACTAAATGGCCAAGACAATATTTTTGAATTTCAAAACTTTTACATCCTTGATCCTGGATGTATCGAATACACCATGCGAAGGTAGATGGTCAAAGTTGTGCCTAACTGCCTATGACCCCTCGCTGGTAACCTCAATGCACTTTCAGTAATTTTACTGTACAAAATGAAGTGAATATCTTTTGCTTAACTTATAGCATACTCCCTCTGTCAAAAAAAAAAAATCAACCTGACAATGTATCTGGACATAGGGTATGTTCAGATACATTGTCCTATAAGAGGTTACATCCCTTTATAGGTTGATTATTTTTTTGGGACGGAGGGAGTATATGGTATCTCTAAGAGTAGCTAGTTTATCATTGACGTTTATGCCTTACGTACCAGTGCTTTTTTACTGCCTCTTACAGAGAGCAGTGCGCATCAACTGTATTTGTCCCTTTTTGCTGACCTTTGGCACTCTTTGGTGTTCTACTTGAGGGATGCAGTTAGCATGATACTCCTGATATAAGGTAGAGAAAGGGTTCTAGGTTCATAATTTAAAACATGGGTAAATTATTTAAATTTAAGGTGAAACCATTCTACTTTAGAATTTTCAATATGCAGAGGGATTAAAGCCAATCCCTTTTTGGAACTTTCAATTCATTTAACTGTTCATCCAAAGGGGCTGTGCCAAATACACATGCCCAAGCAAATGCTTAGAGATTTGGATAACCTGAAAGCAAAGGAGAATCTTTCATTTTCACATCAATTAAGATTGAAACCAATGGACATGCAAGGATGGTTGAATTTTGGGGCACTTTTTTCATGCACATTGTTCATTTGTTTCTTTTGAATGCGTTATTGCAGGAGGATTCAGATGCGATGGAGTCGTAATACATCAAGAGAATCGTTTGTTGTCCTTGTGGCAGAATTCGCAAGTCAAGGCTAACCATATAATGCTTATTTGTTCTGGTTTTTAAGAGCCTGTTCTTTATGGTGCAAACTTCAAAAAAAAAAAAAAAAAAAAAAAACTTTGCCTCAAAAAGAACTTCAGAAAATGCATCTCCAACTTCAATGGTCAAGCTAAGAAGCTAGGAGCTAGAGGTTGGAGCCGTGCCAAAGAGTCCTAACTTTCGTTGGGCCTGGCTTATGATACAAGATTAACATGATTTTATCTGGTTCATTTATTTGATGTATTTTTTGGTGTGGTTCTTGTTGGAAAAAGAGATGAACCGCAGAGTGCCTTGTTCTCTCGCAGTACTTTGTGGTAGCTGAGAACAGTACTGAGTACGACTGCTGATTACTTAATTGGATGCTGACAGCACTTGGTTATTCTCTTGGTTTGCACTAATATGAATGTTTTTCTTTGGACGTTTTTGGGCAGATGATGGACATTGGTGGTGAAGGAGATCCGTAGGTGCAAGATGAGGACCATATGAATTTGGTGAGACAGTTTTAGCTTTATCATCTTAGCATCAGTCAAGTCTACAGAGTGGAGTTGAGGTGGTGATTGATGTTTGACCATCAAGCAGGTGGTGCTTTTCGCAACTTCACCTGACCTTTTTTTTTTGTCCAATTGCTGAGTGAAAACATATGTGATGTCTCAAGTCTCTCTACCAATGCCAGCTTTCAATCCAGAACTTGAACATGAATTGCAAAACTGTAAATGAATTTGCTAGGAATTTACCATTTCAAGAAATCTTGGAGTATTAACGTGCACAAATTGCGGAGTAGCCAACTTCCATATCATTCCTTGAATAAGAAACACACTAGTAAACAACTAACGATGATTCCTTTTGCTTTCATGTGGTAACAGCAACAACGACATACAGGTTTTTTATTTTACAGCTTCTTTCAGGGTGTTCGACCAGGAATGACATTGCAAAACTGAAGTCACCATCATGATCATACAACAGGTCGGTTTCACAATCCCAATATGCAAAAGCTAAACAGGTCATGAAAGAGGACCAAGAGTCCAAGATTACAAGCACAATTACAGAAAGGCCCTTTCTTGAGCCTATATTTGCACTTGGACTCAGTCAACACGTGCCACGTGAGCTTGAAACGAACCAAAGCGTGCAGATGAGCGGCGTCACATGAGCTTCAAAAAAATTGCTCCATTTGTTGGTCAGGAAAGGATTTTCACGAAATAAACAGAAAACAATTTTGACCAACAAATTCCCTTTTCCGTTTATATATAAATAAGTCTTATAACTTGTATGAAAGTATTTGTAACGAAACACTTTGTATATTATTTTTATAAAAAAAATTCTTAAAAATAACTAAGGCCAAATAGGTTGACTACATACACTTTTCTTTGGAAAAAAAGAACTTTTTTGGCTCGAGGATGTACAAATATCCAAGTTAACGGTTTCACTGATGATTTCAAATTAAAGAACAACGACATATGAAAACGACATATGAAAGAGACAAGAGGTTATCACATTTAGTTATCCCCTAGGTTGGCCAAGTAATGTGTCCAACCGACAAGGAAAATGACATGAAGCCTCGAAAATCAATAGATTTCGTGTCGTCATGGTGATTGGACTGTCAGCTGTAGCTTGCAACCAATTGGCCGTGTTTAGTTGTTTTGGCAAAAAAAAAATTTTAATGTATACGGACACACATTTGACAGGGGCGAATCTAGTGTGGGACATGAGGGTACAGCTGTACCCCAAAAAATTTGACAAATAATCTTTGGATTAATAGGTATATTACCTGTATATATATCATTAGTTGGGGCAAAACAGCTATTCTTTAGCCTAAAATTACAATACAACTCATAGAAAACGGCTCAGGCAGACCAACACAAGCTCCTCAAGCTCATCGATCTCGTCTCATGACCTTGAATCTCTGGTTTGTATATGGGGCTTACAACCAGAATACCGAGATATCGTATGCCTTCCTATGGTTTGGAACAACCAACCAATTGCAGCCGTGTGCAGGCGCTGCTCGTGGTCACGGAGAGAAGCCAAGAACAAGCAGCTGATCGACAAGCCGCTGCACTGGAGAAGCAACCTCATGGCTCAATGGATTGAATGTGTTCGTATCATATATTTTTTTAGGCTCCCAACTATTCTTCCTGTAGTTCATGTTTGATTCAATTGATGGTTGCTTTTAGGAAATTTGATTAATGTGCATATCTGAATTTATATGGTAGAGGAGTCAAAAAGAGTTAGATGGTAGTGCAAAAATCTTTATGGAGTGTTTGGGATGAAAACATAGTATCTCTTCTCCAAGATTTAATTTTTCTTTAGCTATTCTTTTCACGAACGCGCAAATCTTTAGCTATTTTGCAATGTTTCTATTTTTATTTGTTGTAGCAAGAAAAACTTGCTCATTACTTTTCCTACTACTAAGCAGTTTCTTTATGGAACAACGATTTGATAACTTTGTACCCCCATCTTCAAAATCTTGCGTCCACCACTGACATTTGAAGTATTAAACGTAGACTAATAACAAAACAAATTACAGATTCCGTGTGTAAACCGCGAGACGAATCTATTTAAGCCTAATTAATCCATCATTAGCAAATGTTTATTGTAGCACTACATTGTTAAATCATGGCGTAATTAGGCTTAAAAGATTCGTCTTGCAATTTATATGCAAACTGTGCAACTGGTTTTTTTCATCCACATTTAATGCTCCATGCATGTGTCCAAACAACCTACTTTTTTTTTTTTGAAGGGAGCACATCCTACTTTTTATGAGCCCCTCCAAAATATGTATATAGTTGTGCTGAAAAAAAGCATCGTTTGGCTGCAACCAATTTTATTTAAATATTTGAGATTTTATTTTAAAAGCTTGATGTTATTAACAGAATGTCTGATTCGAATTAAAAGTAAGTGTGACCCATAGGTGGAGGGTTTCTGAGACTTTTAGGTTGGAAATGGAGAGTCACGTAATAGTAGTAGAATTTCTTCTTTTTTTTTTGTAAATTTGAAGTTCCAATTTCTGAAGCTAGAAGAATTTTAATTCCAAAGATCGATTTCTTGTCGTTTTTTTCTTATGTTCAATTTGTTGTCGTTGTTGCCTGAACTGGTCAGCTTGCAACCAATCATATATCCTTTCTGAAGTGAAGTGCATCTCTTTAGGGTGTGTTTGGTTGCCCATATTCCCCTAGCCTGGCTCATTTCTCGCATCCAGGCTGAGTTTGACCTTGCTAAGAGTATACATATGCAGTTGTTTGGTTGGTTGCATTGGTCTAGCCAGGCTAGCATGAGATTTTGTTTGGTTACTTGTATGAGAGATACGGTTTGAAAGGGATTTTGTTTGTTTGGTTGCATGGATGTGAGTGTTGTTTACCTCTTCATTTAGTTGGGTGAGGTTACCTCTACAATATATATAACAAATAATAAGAGTATTTTGATTTAACCAATTGAATATTCACTTACATATGCGAATGATACTGCAAAATCACTCTATTATCTACATAAAATAAGTCGGCCAACTTTTCACACCGAATCAGTGGTACGAAAAAGAAGAAAAAGGTTATCTATCTATTATATTATTAAAGGAATAGAAAAATAAGCCTCCACGTTCGCTCTCATGGCCTAGAAATTCTCACATTAATCGGAGAAAAAGAAAAATCAGAGTCCATGTAGAAATACAATTTAGAAAATAGTTGAAATTTGGAATTAAAAAAAATAAGAAATATTAGAAGAGGAGACTAGAGTCCATATAGAAATACAATTTAGAAATAGTTGAAATTCGGAATTAAAAAATAAGGAATATTAGAAGATGAGACTAGAGTCCATATAGAAATACAATTAGGAAATAACTGAAATTCGGAATTAAAAAAATAAGGAATATTAGAAGTAGAGTATAGAATCCATATAGAAATACAATTAGGAAATAACTGAAATTCAGAATTAAAAATAAGTAATATTAGAAGTAGAGTATAGAATCCATATAGAAAAAAAATTAGGAAATAACTTAAATTCGTAATTAAAAATAAGGAATATTAGAAGTAGAGTATAGAGTCCATATAGAAATACAATTAGGAAATAACTGAAATTCGGAATTAAAAATAAGGAATATTAGAAGTAGAGCATAGAGTCCGTATAGAAATACAATTAGGAAATAACTGAAATTCGAAGTTAAAAATAAGGAATATTAGAAGTAGAGCATAGAGTCCGTATAGAAATACAATTAGGAAATAACTGAAATTCGAAGTTAAAAATAAGGAATATTAGAAGTAGAGCATAGAGTCCGTATAGAAATACAATTAGAAAATAACTGAAATTCGAAATTAAAAATAAGGAATATTAGAAGTAGAGTATAGAGTCTATATAGAAATACAATTAGGAAATAATAGAAATTTAGAATTAAAAATAAGGAATATTAGAAGTAGAGTATAGAGTCCATATAGAAATACAATTAAGAAAAAAATAGAAATTCGTAATTAAAAAATAAGGAATATTAAAGTAGAGTATAGAAATACAATTTACAAAAAATTCGGAATTAAAAAAAAGAATTATTAAAAGACGAGTCTAGAGTAGGAATATATATAATTTACAAATAACTAAAACTCGATATTAAAAATAATTAATATCTCACATTAATATAAAATACCATATGAATATTACACATTTGTAGTTTCGTAAAGTTATTGTAAAATTTAAAATTATGATGTTATTTTAATATATTTGAATAATATAATAAGAAAACATATATGTTATTACGTGAGAGAAAATATAATAATGCTAGCCGCGCAATCTGTGCGGGCCACCATGCTAGTTTTTCTTTAAGCTAGATGAACCAGTGGAACTAATTAATCTATTAGTAGTAATTCTGCATACATTGACTTCTCTGTTGCTGGAGTACTTGCTAGTGAGAAACGAAAGAAAAAGAAAACAGAAAACCCGGGGAGAAAAAAGAAACGAAAGAGAGAAAGGAAGGGGATCGGCGTTGCAGCCGTCGCTTCGTCGTCATCAACTCCCGTCCGCCCGCAGCCGCATGCATGCCCACCTGCCCGCCGCTCGCCGTTCCTCCACCCATCTTCCTGCGCTCCTCTCCATCCGCCGCTTGCCGCTCCTCTGCTCCAGATCTGACCGGCACAGAAGAAGGTGGGATACGACGGTGGCCGACGATTGAAGATGGGATACGATGGGAAGAGGAGGGATGCGGCAGCAAGGTGGATCCGCCGTCCTCGTCGCCGCGACCTCCGCTGAGCTCGTCACCGTCAAGCTTTTTGCCGCCTCACCACTAGTTGGATCTGGCAGTGCTCACACCATCAGCGGGGACGTGTGGGCAAGGCGGTGGCCGGATATTGAAGGTGGGAGACGGTGGGAAGAGGAGGGGGATGCAGCAGCAAGTTGGATTCGTCGGGCGCCACTCCCTCTAGCAGAGCTCGTCTTCGCCATGTCGATTGCTGGGGGAAAATGACGAGGAGCAAGGGGCGGAGTGGTGACCCCATCGCTTGCCCTTGCACACGCGGGTGCGGGGCGCTGCATGCGCGGATGCAGCGCGTTGCATCGTGCGGGCCTGGCCGAGTAGCGAAGCTCAACTTGAGCGTTTCTGCTCAGCCTGGCTGTGGGGGATTTTTTGCATCCGCTCGACCAGGCTGGGAGCGAGCTGCAGGCAACCAAACAGCGACCTACTGCATCCACGCGTGCGAGCCAGGTTTCATGCATGCAACCAAACACACCCTCGCCTGTAGGCTGTACTTCATACCAAAATAAAAACAATCCAGTAGTGAGTACAATCT